TGATTATAATTTTTAAGTAATGCTATAATTTACTTTTTAATTTATATGAGTGAAATCTATTATTATTATTATTAATATTATACGCCATTAAAGATAAAATGTCGCATTTATTTAACGTTATAAATTTTCACTTTTATCGATGATAATTTTTACAATTTGAAATAATTTTTAATCAATATATTTACATGATTTTTAATTTACAAGAACGAAATCTATTATTTTTATTATTATTATTATACGCCATTAACGTAAAATGTCACCATTTATTTATCGCCATAAAGTTTTATCAATCGATAATAATAATTTCCATAGTTTAAGTACAACGAAATAATATATGACGTAGATATGCAAAGCAAATCTCTAAAACTAACAGGAACACTCAGCAGGTGCTAATTATTTATTGCTTCCCACTCGTATATGCTATTCGCGTGGGTTCAAGTATGCGTTTAGTATTCGCGTGTGTGTTCAGACAAGTGGAAAAGCTGGATTACGAGTTAGCGTTTAAATGCGAAGACCGATCGATATCAACTTATTAGCTGGACTTTTTAAATTTGCTTCAATTGGAAAAGGTAGGTTTTACGTTATAAAACGTTGTCCGTTTACCGATCAAGTGTAAGTTGCTTTCATTATTTTTCTTTTTTTTTCTCCTTTTTTCTTTTTTTTCTTCCTTTCCCTTCTTTTTACGGGGGAGAACCGGACAATTTGTTGGAAGTAGACGTTTTATATTCCCCATAGAACATTTAAGGAGCTCACGGGTTTGAAACTGTCGCCTTTCCTCTTTTCTCTCTCTCTCTCTTTCTTTCTTTCTGTTCGTGTAGGTTCCCTCGTGCACGGTTTCAAAGACAAGGCCTTACAAACTGTCGTACAAAGAACTTTGCATACGCTGATAATTTAAAACTCGAGCACCGTTTGTGCCAGCTCGAGTTTGAGGAAAAAAACATTGTTTCTTTTCTGGGCACGCCGAAGAAATGCTTTTCATCCTGGCTAATCCATTCGTGGGTATTTGAACAGGATGATAAAAATAAAAAAGTAAATGGAAATTCATCTCGTTGTATAGTTCGATGAGTATAAATCGAAGAAAATTTATTGATACGTTCGCATAACAAAAAATGAAACATTAAAGAAAGAAATTTATTTCATTGGTTGATACCTACCATTAAATTTAAATGATATTTTATTTACGTGTAAATAATTAAACAATTATTACGCATCAATGAAAAATTTTTATTTTTTATTTTTAATGTTAATATTTTTAGGAATCAAGATGATTCCAGACAACTGCATACTGATTTAATTACATGTGATATTCTTCTGAAAATTGTGTAGTGTAATTAGTTATTAAACAAAATATTTTATTTATACTTAATTGAGCCGTTTATTTGAAAAGTGGCATAATTCTATTTATACTTAAATTGAAGTATTTAATTAGTTTATGTTTCAATAAAATTAAAAATATGTATAAAGGATTTGTCGTACTGCTTCAGTGTTCACTTTTAGATAAAAGAGCTAAATTTATAATTCTTATAAAAATAATAAGAATTATTAAGTGAATAATATTTGTCTTCATATCAAAAATAGAATTTCAATTTTAAAGTTAATAACCAGATTCGTTATATAATTTAAAAGAGTCAAAAAAATTCCCTTTTTGACATAATTTAAAATGCTGCAAATTGAAAACACAATACTCAATTTATTTTACATTTACATTTATTTTATATTTATGTTTATAGTACATTTAAAACATTTATCCTAAAACACTTTATGTCTTTACATTATAATTTTTGTAATTCCTTTTTTTTTTTATAAACTGGTGTCAATGCAATATTGTCGAATTTTCTCAGTCTACCTTAACGTGATAATAAATCTAGGATTGTAAAATAAAATCCATTGATATCTCAAAAAAATTTATTTTGTTAATTTTATAAAAACCGCATCCAGTACATTTTTAACCAATTTATGGTTTCTCCATTAGAATTATTTACTGTTTTAAAAACTGCATACTACACAAAAATTTTAATATGAAATACTCTTATTTCATTTTATTTAGAATAGAATTATTATCTTTCCAGTACTTTTTGATAACATTTTAATAATCTTGGGAAACAAACAGTAAATTAAAAAAAAATGAATCCACACTTTCGGACATTATCAATGATGAATTCGATTTAGGTTACTTTAAAACTAATGGTTTTAATTGTTGAACTAACTGCTAAAACTTATGTGTTTAAAATTATCGTGTATGCTCTGAATATGCATAACCGCAAATGTTGTTTATGACAGTTAACTTCCAGTTGTACGCGTTATTACAGTCAACAAAAAATAATTGACAAATGGACTTAAGCCACTTTCCAAATAAACGGCTCAATTATATCCTAAAAAGTAAATACATCAAAATATATGTTCGTGCACTATCAATTAGAAAATATGTACATGTTAACTAATATAAATAACGATTTCTTTCATACGTTATAAATAACATATTTCAAGTATTATTTTTTATGTAATAATACCAATAAATCTAAACTAGTGATAATAATAATAAATATAAAAGAAAAACATTTATTTATATTCCAGAAACAATTTCAAACATTAAGTGAATACTGACGTATATTCGTTTAAAATCTTGCCATCCTAAATACCCCTCGATTTGAATAATTTTGATTGAAAAGATGTCATATTTAAATATAATATTTATAAAATATTATATATTTTTAATCATTTTCATCTCATCTAATAATCCTACTTGAAAATATTAAATGTCACCCTATACCTTACGAAATTCAAATAACTTTTGTAACAAATAATCAAAATATGTTTTATTTAAAGTGGTAAAAGTTAGAATGTGAATATACTGTTGTAAAAATAAAATTGGTGGGGTATTCTATTTTACCTGATAGTCCATATAATTTCCATATCCCATATGATTACAGGTGCAGGCACAAGCTTGAATATGCCTTCGCATGTCGAGTTCAACTTCCTCGCCGCAGACACCTCTGCTAGTGGCCATCATAGTATCCCCCATGCAATAACCGCCGGTGCAATACATCCTTGGGTCAGTCTGATCCAGGTAACCCCCGCCCGTGTCATCGTACCCGAGTCCACTGGCACACCTGGAATCCGAGGTATATCCTACGCGAGATTGTGGACATTCCTCGTATCCCAGTCTGGACTGGGGTCGATGGAAGGTCGGGGGAACATCCTGAAACAAGACGACCGGTCAGTCAAATCTCTTGTTTAACTTTGCCTTAAATTTTTTTATTCATTTATTATTTCACGCTCTGATATCTCTATTTATAATCTTGTAAATTAACAATAATTACTCGTCGTGTTTTATGTTACTTTGTGATAAACTCAAGTGGTGTCGCCTTACAAATAAAACACATGCGTTCCCCTCTAGAAAAATGGTCTCATTTATCCTACAATAAATTCTTATGCACTCATACTCATATCACCACACGCAACAAATAAAGAATAACATTTCTTTAAGTTTCCTTATAAGGAAATCATTTTAAGTTATTTTTAGAAATATCGATTCACATACTTTTAATACAAACCAATCTCCGTTATAAATTCGTCTTAAATTTCTTTTTATTTATACGAAACAGAAAACATTACTTCTCTTTTCACTACCAAATTTTTTCTCATCCTCACAGTACTTTATAAATCAAGCACTGATAAAGTTATTAACACACTGTGTCAAAATAATTACACCATCTATCTGCTTCAGTTTTTCCTATGAATAATTATTTCTATAATGTAATAATAACCTACAAAAAAAATCTAACCTAAGTAAATTTCTGAGATACAGAATTTTGCAGTATTGAAAGAAACTGGCGTTTTATCCTTCATTTGGCACAGCGAGTAATAAAAAAGAAATAAAAAGAAATGTAGATTAGAAAATTGGAATCTAAAAATATTAACATAGATGTTAACTTTTTTTTTTAATTAGTTAGAAAAATTTATTATTATTGCTAATAATAAACTATTTAACTTTTATTGTATTTATTTCTATTTTATTTTATTATATTTAATTACATTTATTTTTATTTTTATTTAATTACATTATATTTATTTATTATATATTAAATTATATTTATTATATTGTTAAATAATTTATTAAAACCTTAACATTGACGTTAACTTTTTCTATAATTAATTAAACAATAATAACCTACATTTCTATTGCTATTTTTATTTTGTGTTTAATCCTTCATGATTGAACATAGAATCCTTTACTCGAGACTAAACTAATGAAAAATAATTTCAGACAAAAATTCGAATGCTAGTACAACTCAAGAACCTAAAGAAATAAAATAATAAAATAAAAAGTAATAGTAGAAGATTAAAAATAATAATAATAACTATTAGTTAATAGTACAATTCTTTAACGGAACATTAAACTTTCAGGAAATTCGTTGCATTCAGATAAACGTTCGTACGTATATTTACGTAAACATAAATATGAATAAAGACAATGAAACTAATTTGATAAAATACAAAAAAATAAATATATGATTTCATATATTTATATAATTAAAACTTAATCACTTTTTTATAATAAAACATTCTCTTTCCTTTTGTTCTTCTTTAAATTTTGAATTTAAATCATTATCTTTCCGATTAAATATAGGAGTAATTTTTTTTGAAAATGGTACAAGTTCAATTTTGTAAAAAATGAGTAAAGACTGGCTTCAGTAAAGCGTAGATGACTTCTTTTTCATATTGTTAATAAGAAATTTAAAACACAGTATATTATCCTTACGAATTTATCAATAACAGCTTCATTATAAGATGATGCATTCACATGTTTGTTTTTTAAATAGATATAAGTCCATTTACAACCCCAAAAGAATCTTATTGTTCTTCAACAGTTTTATTAATAATTATCGGATATTGAAATTAAACATTTTTATATATTCAAAACTATTTTCTTAATTTATTTTGCAATTACCAATATTTTTCAATCAATTCCAGCACAAACCTTTCAATATTTCAAGATGAAAAAAAATGGATTCATACCAATTTTCCAGAAAAAAAAAAAAACGATTGATATATATGTTCATATGATACGAAGATTAAATTAAAAATATCCTAAAGAAATATAGAACGATTGTTGAAATTTTTTAATATGAACGAATTTGAAAGATATATCAAATGCAATTGGTTCTTAGTTGAAAAGCGAAAGCAGCCTATCCTAATCCAAGGCTTATCTCAATGGACAAAGGTATATTCTTGAAATACAAATGGTAGGAGATCACGTTGTTCTCCTATTGTGGCAATGCTACGCACGGTCGATATCCTAGATAGCTAGTCTATCTCAGATTTAGGGTTTCACAGTCGGTATATATATTTAGTAAGGACACTCCTTAGGATATCCCAGTTGATAACTTTGCAGGATCTTTGTTTGCTAATATATCTATCTAATTCATCTATCTTTACGTTTGATCTATTTCCTAAACGAGATAGCGCTCCATTTCAAATGTTTATGTATATGTATGCGGGTTGTGACCCTTTGAAGTCGAATTAATACTAAACGTAATAAATACTTTAAAATAACTAATAATGTGTCTCATACAAATTTTATTTAAAGTATTATTATTATATATTATTTATTATATATCTATTATATATATTATTTTTAATTTACAGAAATTAGTATTATATTTTACTTAAAGTATTCTTATTATTATTATTATTTTTCATAATTTTTATAAAACGTTTTTCGTATAAATATTATAAACTAGAATAGTAATAATAATATTATAATATTATATTAATTAATTAATAATTTAATTTATAATATTATATATAATATTATTATTATATATTATAATAATGTAACTATACATTATAAATATTATAATTTATATAAAATTTATAATATAAAAAAATAAATATTATATAAAAAAATTATTGTAATTAATAATTAGTAATTAATAATTTTATAATATTAAAATATGTATAATATTCAAAATAATCTGTAGGATTTTTTTTACTGATATATCGGTCTCATAACTTTATCTTTACATTTAAACAACTAGCTATAATTGACGAATATACTCGTCATGAAGAAATAATATTTTGTGTTATGACAAATATACTCGTCGTCGCTTTATTTTGTCGACAAAAATTTAGGTACATACGTTTTAAAAAAATTACTAACTGATCGAATATTGATTCTTATTTCTCGGACAAACAAACTTTGGCTTTTCAATGCTTCTTGCATTTATATTTGTATTTGGTATAACAATGTCGTGTATTAAATATAATAACTGATAAATGTCATTTATTTGATAAATTATAGTGATTTTTAAAGAGAATTAAATAGAAACTAGGCCGCATTAATGTGTTTACATTTTCTATAAAATTAACAAACAGTATTGTAACGAATGTGAGTTTCTCATTAATCAACGGTAATTTGTAGAATTAGTAGAATAGCGTGATGGGTTGTTACGTAAATCTCGCAAATCCAAGTAGCTGAAATGTTTCCCCAGAAACGTCATGTAATTGTCCGTTAAGCGAGCGTCCATTTGCTCAACCATTCATCTGCTAGTTTTCTCCAATTTATAATTACTCAAAAATTGATTATAATTTAACATTACATAATATTATATAAATCAAATGATATGCGAGATAGAACGTTACTAAATTATTTCTTAGGAAAGGAAAGGGATGTCTAATAAATTTCATTGGAATAACTTATAACCTGACATTAATGAGTGCAATGAACTAATGAGCGAAGAACTTTGGTGACTTCCGATTAAATTTCTTTCTTTTCTTTTCTTTTCTAATTTTTTTTTCTTTTTCTACAAAAAAGAAAGAAAAAAACCCTAGATTAAAGGGTTTTTGTTTTTTTTTTCGTTTTTTCTTGTTATTTTTTTTTTTCCTTCGAATTAAAGCATTTGAAAATATCCCTCTGGTGATATTATCGACCACATCCCTACTGACCCACATATCTTAAATTCTAATCAGTCCTCATTCAGTACGAGTGACCTGGCAACCTAACAGTTTCTACACTCACCCTTTCACCCGTTCGAGATATCGAATCGGACGTTTCGAATCATCGTGCATAGCTTGCAATCTGTCATAAGTGCTTTTCCCTTCAGTCGATGTTATGCCTTATTCATGAAGGCATGAAATCCTTTTCCAGAGAGGAAACGAAACGGTGCTAGGCAAACATCATTCTTTTATCTCCGATCGGAAAATTAACTCTAATCCTGTTAGAAATTCTATCGGCAGAAAGTTGAGACGTTCTCAAAGAAATTTTCATCCTGTCTCTGATATTTCTCATAGATTTCTACCTCAAAGGTAACTCACACTTCTTTAATATCAAATATAGATATAAGTGTGTGACGTTGAAAAAGTATATGTCAAAATCCGGGATTTCGATGACACGGGATTTCCGACTCAAGCGTAACCAGATTTAGAGCAATCTGCACTTACGTACGCTCCAAGTCGAATCCGATAAGATGAACTTCTTCTATATATATACACATGTACAGGATGTCACAAAAATAAAAGAATCTGAATATTCCTATATTAGTATAATTACAACATTTTATTGTTTATTGATATGAGTTTTTCCAATTGGAGTATTTTTCCAAAAATATGCTTGCCTTTGCTCCAAATACCATCTCATAAAAAATGTATCATTTTTCATGTCGGTAAAGCGACTTTTAGGAGACTCTGTATATATGTGCATATGTTGTATGTGTGTGTTAGTATGTATATATAGAATAGGAGTCACAACGAAGCGTCGTATCAGAAGTTAATTCCCTTACTTTTAAAGATAAACAAGTAAAAAGGTCAAATAAAAGTCGTGAATTTATATCGTCCCACGATTGTCCGACTTTCAAACTATTTTTCCGATTAAATTTTTACTTTTCGTGCTATCGTATCCGTCTAGTTACGATTAAATCGTAAACTCTCTACACTTTTATTCGCGGCAAAAAATTTCGCGAAAAGCGAAGAACGGGCGAAATTAGTTTTAGGAAGAAAAAAAGTCAAAGAAAGTAAAAAACACGGTAGAAAATTTAGTAGATATATTATATACGTAACGCTATCACTTGTACTAACGTATATCAAGATTTTATTCATTTTTCAAAATATGATCCCATAACTACGTGTGTGTGTGTCTTTTTCTCTCGTAGAAAAATTATTTTTCTCGATATAAAAATATTGATTTATGGATAAAAACAA